TTTTAAAGTAGGTATGCATCCAGATCCTCTGCTTAGGAAAAGCAGCATAGCCAAGAGCAGTCCTACTCTGTATTTGAGGAGCATCATCAGCTTTCCCCTGCCAATACTGATATCACAACATTTAAAAATTTGTTTATCCTGAATGTTTTGTGAAAAATATTTAAAATTCACTGATTCACTAGAGAATAAACATTCATTAATTAACAGCAGAAAGTAAACACTCAGAGGAGAAAAACAGAGTTAAAGTGATTTAATGTAAAAATTTGTATGAATATTCATGGAATTATTTTGCCTCAGTTTCTAGTTCTAATGGTGCTGTTTCTCTGAAGAACTAATTTAATTGAGTAGATACATGTTTATGTGTACAGAAGTTCTCAAGTGTTCCAATTGTGCTTTTTTTTCCTAGGCATCCAATTCAAACACAAAATTCAAATATCCATAATGCATATATATATATATATATATATATATATATATATATATATATGTGTGTGTGTGTGTGTGTGTGTGTGTGTATATGTATATATACATAGTATATATACATATATTTCACAGTGTGTTTGCCTGTAAAACTCCTCAATAAGTAATTTTATTTTTCTGAAACATACCTTGGAAACCTGAAATTACTTGTGGCACAGCACACCATTCTCATGCTTTCAAAGTCCCAAGTGTTTTGCAAACACAGGACGATTTAGGAGATTCACTGCTGGGGCAATACAACTGGATTCTGCCCCTCTTTTATTAAAAGAGAAAAAGAAGAGAAAACCTATCTGATTTTATTCACAATATCAGATTGTGATTCTGTGATTATGAGACCAGACCATTTTTTACAGTATACTCTTTTCTTTCCTAACTGCAAATACTGATTCATTACTGTCCCCAGCTGGCAGAAATGCACACCCATGGGAGGTAGACACTTGAGTCGCAGAACCACAGAATCACAGAATTAACTAGCTTGGAAAAGGCCTTTGAGATCATCGAATCCATCCTATGACCTAACACCACCTTGTCAAACCATGGCACCAAGTACCACATCCACTCTTTTCTTAAATACCTTCAGGGACAGTGATTCCACAAACTCCCTGGGCAACCAATTCCAATGCCCAATCACTCTTTCTGTGAAGAAAGTGTCCAGCCTAAAATATTTGTCCGGTATGTAAAAGGGAGACAAGGATCCCTGAACCTTAAGGATGTTGTCAAACAGCCCCAGCCAGATGGAGCTTTGACAGACAAAGGTGAGACTATTTCATAAATGTAGTTATCAACCACTGCCCATAGGCTGAAGCTAACTACATGGACAGACATGGACAAACCACAGCTCAAGTTACAAAATGTCTTCCAGATTCAGAGGGACTTAAATAAGGATCTGCATAAAGAGAAAAAAATAATTTCAGAATTTATATACTGAAAAATTAAGTTCAAGTCTCTTTAGCTACTACTTTTGCCTCCTTGTCTAACCTAGTATTTTTTTTGTGTGAGATTTTTACTTTTGTGTGAGCTACACAGGACACTGTAGTGTGTCATTTACTCTTGCAATCTAAAATTTTCTCCTTTTGTTTTCCTGGAATCAAAATAGTTTTCATTCCTGTACTTATCCCTTGCAAGGCATGCCCAGTGCTAGCTGTATCATGTTTTAAGACTGTTATTCTTGCATCTAAGAAAACCTGATTTGTGCTCGATTCTTCTTATTTTCAGTCTCTTTTCACTGACGTCACTGTCACTCTAGCTTTGTTAAAAGCACAAACTGCACTGCTCCCATGTCTACTTTAACATTGTGTCATAATTCCTTGGCTTTAAATCCATAAATCACTCACTCTAGTCATCCTCTTCACAGAAATAAATGCCTTTAAGGAGGCCCGCAGTCATGAAAACTAAAAGTAGAAATATACCAGAAAGTGTTAAAGGCTAATTATTACAAAATTATTACCATTTTTTCCCTTACTATTTTGTTGCTGTCAAAGAGCTTTATCTTTTCTCAGATGTGTTAAAATAATTACTTTACAAGGAACAGTGGGTCTCCACTTATAAAAATACATTATCATATCAATTATATTTGAGAGGTTGGGAAAAAGTGGAGCAAAGTCTCAAAGGAAGGAATTCCTAATAGGAATTCAAAAGATGTGATCTTCTTTGATTTTCACCTTTACTAAGGTTCTCAGAAGTGGGTCTGATATCATTTTCAAAAAGGCACAATCCAGATTATTTTCAAAACATTTACCCAAGTTTTCCCAAACTCTTCTGGCTGGGTGAATATCGTTAGGTATCCACAAGTGCTTTGGCTGTGCAGGGTACCCAGAGAGATAAGGAGAAACCATTTTGTCCAGGTGCCAGATAGTCTCATGGGGTTTCTGCTGAAGCACAGCCAAAGGCAATGGCTCCATCCCTCCACTGCTAGATTAATAGTTTGTCTGAATGAACTTAAGGGTCTTCTCCAGACTAAACAATTCTATGATTCCATCATAGAGTGTTTTGCAAATCCATTTTTTAACCTCCTACTCAACACAAAATCAGTAAGCCAGATGCTACATGAATATGGAGCACAAAGCAGCAGCTTCTTTCTAACCGGGCTACATTTTTACCATCTAGACAGCCTGGGCACTCTGACACTGAGGTCTATGAAAAAGATGTGTTAAAGCCACATCCCTATGCTAGGGATTACTCCTCTGTGTAACTTAGCTTCTCAGCATCCATAAAAAGAAATGGTACAAGCAAGCCTTGTTCTCAAAATTAAACCTCTAAGTCACACCAACAACCTGCTCAGATTTAGCTATCAACTGTCTAGAGGATATATTACTGCTTCATAGATGAGAGAAAAGGGGAAACATAATAGAAATACTTATCAGCTAAAGGGAAGATAAAAGATTCAGCAGCTCGTCCCCAAATGGATACTTTACAGGACTGTGCTGTTTGCTGCTGCCAATGGTAAGTAGCCAGTCAACAGCAAATCCAGCTTGTTATGTGCCCATAAATCTGCGCAGGTAATCCAACTCTGACTTCTCCAAGTCCCTGAGTGCTTAATCACCGAAACTTTCAACTCATAGGCGTATTTGTGTGCGAAACACATTAAAAAAACCTAAACCACAATTTACACCATCAGCTCCTAGCTACATGACGTACAAACCTCTCTGAGAAAACTGTCATATGTCCACAGATTTCGTTCATGTGCAGATTGCCAGACTGTGCAGCATTGTTTTTATAGTCTGAAAATTCATTTTGCTTAAATGTGAATACTTTCTTTTTGTGAGAAAGCAATAGGAGAAAAGACTATAGTGTCTGATTCTGTCTTTAGTTCAGAAACAACAGTTTGGATTTTAAAAAGCAAAATAATGATTTATATAAGACACAAAAGCTTAACAAAATTGCTGCAGTAAGTGGATATACACTTCCTTCAGAACTTTGTCAAGTGAGTTTTCGCAATTTTAAAATAATTGTCATCTGTTAGAAAATGACATTTCAATTTTGAAGGAGTACTGATCTAAATAAATCAGCTGTGATTGTATTTTTGTCCACAGACATGTGAACTATGTAACAGTTTGTTGTTGAAACAGGAAACCCACTTTCGTAAGGCTAGATCTGGACAATGAGGCTTGATGGCTGTTTGATATGGACACACTGAGCATCTGATAAGATATCAAAACCCATGGCAGTTAGGAATGTACTGCTCAAGGTGGCATAATATAACAGTACATGAGAGTACACCAATTTCTCTTAAATTGGATTTTTCAGAACATCAAATTAAAACTAGATATTCTGGAAAACAGAACAAAACATGTGTGTTTGATTTGGCTTCCTAATATAAAGGATAGCTTATGGTGACAAAGCAAAATTTTAATGGTTTGGCAAAAGGGAATAAGCAACAGAAAAGTTGAATTATGCAGCTCTCGACACCCTGATGCATTAAGGATATTTGCAGGTGCTACTATATCAGAGTCTAAGGGGCTGTAATTTCTCTCTCACTCTTTTTTTTTTTTTCCTAAAAAGTACCTCTAAGGTTTACAATACCCAAAAGAATGCAGTATTTGACAGCACGTCTTACACATCACTTTCAAAATCCCAAGTTCTTGAAACAAGAGATGTGATAGCTCCCCTAAAACCAGTCTTACCAGGTGAATGATTTGAATCAGTTGAAAAAAGAGGCTCCTTAGTAGAGCTGTATAAGAGCCAGCGTTTTCTATAGATGAGAAATTTAAAATATTGTATGTTTATTCAGAAGAAAAGTAAAGCAAGAAAGAAAAATGAAAACTGAAAAAGAAAATACCATCAGATTCAAGATCAAATCTAGGACAAAGTTACACTTCGGGTCAATCAAAAAATAATTCTAGCTTTTTTATCAATGTTTTGACCTTTATTTTTTTTGAATGACAATACTACATGAAATTCAAAATTTCAATTTCACATTATCATTAATAAAGTAATGTTTCTCGAAATACATTTCAGTCAAAGCTTTTACAGCTCCAGAAATCTTCAGACTAACTCACAACTTGCTCAATTTCAAGCCAGCACTAATTCACATCTTTCCTGCAAGCTGCTATTTCACATCAAAAATATCTGCAAGTTAGATGTGTTTTTTTCAGTAAGACCCTTGTGGATTTATGCTAATATTAATTTTAAACTGAGCAGAGCTTGAGAAAGTGTTATCACACCATTAGAGCGATAATACAGATCTCTGATTAGTAGAAGACAGCAATAAGCAAACAAATATTATTTTCATCTCTCTTCACACTTTGGGGAATTTTAGTGAAAAAGAACTTGTGGCAATATTATTGCCCGTACCAAAACTTTTGAGAGGGATGAATTACATGTATGAGCAGAGAATTTAAAATACTCATACCTGAAAACTAAACCACTAGTTCAGGCTGGGGTAGAAAATATTTTGGTCACTTCTAACACTGTGCAAAAGCATCAGTTTCATATTTGCCATAAAAAGAATGGGATTAAAAGATACAGTCTATGAAACCCAAACTCTTCACGGACAGAAACATATTTTCCATTAGATTTACCGTCCACTGCTCTCCAGAAAGCTGAAAAATAAACTTGTTCTGTTCTTTATTTGCTCCATCTGACAAGGCATGACTCTTCTTGAGCTGAGGATTCTTTCCATGGATGTCCAGGTTCTTCTCATTGATGTCTACAAAGCCATTCTTGAGGTATTTTGATTGAGGAATACCTTTCTTACGGCACTCTAGTATCAAATTCCATTCCTGTTTTATCCTGAAATAGTGCCAAAAAATGCTTATGTGAAAAAAATATGGCAGGTAAGTTCTAAAGCTTAATCTGTGTTTGCAAAAGTACTTAACTAAATATAATTATTCATCTAAGGTATTGGCTATTTTTTATATATGAATACTAAGAAAATATGCATTTCCTGGAGTTACGCTAAGGTTTTCTAGACATACAAATAGATTTCAAGTGATCAGGATTTCATTCACTGACTATAAAACAGTAAGATGCAGAGAGTAACAGAAAAGTGGAGACTGAGCAAACTGTAACAGAAAATAGCAAAAATTATATGCTTTATTTTGATAGGATAGGAAATATATTCTCACAGAATAAATTACATGCATAGACAAAATCAAGTACTTGGTGATATAGGAAAACATTTTCTTTGGGAAAAGGTAAGAAGTGCCTTTTTTCCCTGCCCTTTCTTGATCAAGTGTAATGATTTATTTTCATTTTTACACCAATATCTTCTTAGAAAGTAAAGGTTAAAGTTATCATATGACAACTGATTGCAGATTCAGTTTCAGTAACTTCTACATCATCTCCAAGACAAGCTTTTTCTCATAACTTCAGGTACAAATTCAATTTGATATAATTAAGCATTGTCAAGAGCTCAAGTTTTTAGTTAAGAGAGATTTATTTCAGTTTAGTCAATTAAAGAACTGGTTGGTTAACAGAAGCAAGGCTTTCTAACACCAAAACAAGACTCTGGAGGGTCCTGTGTATCATAAATCTGACCTCACACTTTGAATTCTATATCCTGTGGTACATAAAACTCGTTTATGCCATCTCCATCCTCTGAAAGAAACTTTAATCTAAAGCATTGAAGAAAACTGAGAGTTTAAGAACAACATAAAGTTCAGGATTAAGTAGCCTTAGAGAAAGTAAATATGCTATGTCCTAGAAAGAGAAACACATGCAAGATTATAAAGTTCAAATAAGAAGTTACAAAATCTTTACACATATTACCACTTAATTATGGGGTTCTTCTCTACAATGCTAGGATGTAAAAAAAAAAATTGCCACATGAGAGAGAATCATGAAGTAATAGAATTATTTGGGTTGGAAGGGAAGCTGAAGATCATCTGCTTTCAACCCCACTGACTCTGGAGGGACACTGCTCATCACTGGTGGGTGATCATCAGTCATCACCCATCATGGCTGAGTGGCTGCATGCAAAGTGTAGTGGCCAATGGATCAGTGACCAAATGGAGCCTTGGTCATTGATTCATTGGCCACAACACTTTGCATGCCACCACCCAGCCAGGACTTTACCCACTAGACGGTCCACCCCTCAAATCCATGACCCCTTTTCCCCTGTCCACCAATATCATGGCTCCGTCATAAAAGACTCACAGATTTGTCAGGATTAAAACCAGAATGTCAAGTTTTAAGTCACATGCAAGAAACCCACTACAAACTTAGGTGAAAGAAGCTTGTCCCAAAATCTTGTTGAAATAAATTATTTTTGGACATCCATAACAAGGTATGAAGCCACAGTGCAGAGCACTCTTATGGAAATATAGCAGCACAGATTAAAAGTCATATTAAGATGACTTAATGCTATCAAAAAAAGTCTTTAGAGAGCAAAACTGCATGCCCAGATAGAAAGGTATTGAGAGAGTTGTATATATTGTGGCACTTATACTGTGGAAATCTCAGGAGATTTTAGAGAGATTTGGAAGCAGAGAGCACAGCAATGGCAAAGACACAGCACAGTGACACACTGCAGGCACTTTCTACACTTTTGGAAAATACATATAAACATTTATCAGAGGAGCAAGCCTGAAGGACCACTGAAGGAGAGTTTCAAGGAGCAGCACACTATACATGCAACATAAGAGAACTGCAGAAAGCCCCTTCTGTAACAATGACTGCAATTCCTAAGTGACATCTTCTGCAAATATTTCAGGAGGTGAATTAACAGTGAGGTTGGTTAAAAGGTAGCTCACTGGATAAAGTGTTGACAGACTATAGGAAGACAGGACAAACTCAGACTAAGTACATTCTAATGAAAAGACAGTAAGGATGTCTTTGACCCTTATTCAAAAATTACAGAAGTATTTCTGAAAAGATAAAATTGTATTTATCTTCAAATGAAAAAAAAAATAGAGAGAAACATGATCTCTGATAAACACCAAGAAAGAAAATTAATTTACTGCGGGTATGCAAATGTGTAAGAAAAGGATTTTTAGCATATCAGATTAAAGACGATTCAGAGAGATGATGGGAACAATAACTTCTGAAAATACGAAAGGAGCAATAAAGGAATAGTTATAGAAGTTATTGATACCTGCAGAAATGTTACTCATTCTTGGCTTCAGTTTTCATTAGAGATATCAAGATGTACTTCACAAGTCAACATCTGGAAGAATTCCTGGTATTAAAAAGTATCAGTAGGGGAGGTGTGAAAATACTAAAATATATTTGAAATAAATCTCCTAGTTTCTCTCAGTGTCTAGTGCATTGTGGAATGTTTCATACCACAGCAAGCTGCGATTATAAGTGAGTTAAGAAAAAATAGACTGGGCAGACAGAAAAACATTTAGCCAAGGGAGTGCCTAGTGTGGACTAAAGGTGTTAGCACAGTCCACCAACCATTCACAATATCCCCACAAATATTGTCTGAGTTTACTTGATATGACAAAGACAAGAAAAAAGGTTAAAGCAGATACAGATCCTTAGCCCACACTGCAATATGTCATCAAGTTGTGGCTAATATTTCTAAATTTTCAATTACAGAGGGAGAAATATCCAAACATCTGATTTGACCAAGCAGCCCTGCTAAGGGTATCCCCACCAGTTGCAGTCTAGAAGAGCTCAGATGACAGTTTTCCAGATCAGCAGACATGATAGTTCAAAATCATTTCAGAAGCTTTGACACATGAGTCCATTCAAGGTTTAGTTTTGATTTTAACTATTCAATCTGTCATTTGTACTGAAGAAACTGCCAACAAAACTGAGTGTGAATACTGTAATAGCAATATGTTGCTAGGAAAAGCTACCAACCACTATTTCCATGCACATAAGGAAAAATAAATGGTCGCAAAACGCCTACTCATATTTTGTTCCAAAACTTGTGTACCAGTGAGTATAGCTGTATAGATATAAAAGTTCTGTGTGACTAGGAAGTGAAGTGGTGTGGGGAAGGTGTTAACTGAATTTCAAGGAAGAGAAAAAAATTGTCTGAACAATTAAGAGGCAGAAGTCATAAGGACCATAGGATTAAACAAGTAGAATTATTTTTTTTTAAATATTCCAAATTTTACTTACCACTGCTGTTCTGCTCTTTCTCGCATTCTCCAGTCCCTCAGACAGAGTTTTCTGTCCTTCTGTGAAGCTTAATTCTGCATTATTACCCTCTCATTCCCATGGAATTCCTTCATTTTCTATCAAAGCAATAAATATTTCACTCAGTGCATACTTTAGTGCACTGAAAAAAATTGCACAAAGTGCAATACAAAATGGGGGGGTTTTGTACTCATTGCTCTTCTTTCAAGCCCAAAAAATGACTGACTCATGCCTGACAGTATAAATTCTAAGAATGTTAGAAACTTAAACAACAGAAATAAGAGGTCAAAAAGTCTAACTCAATAAAAAATAAGCTGCATTATTACACATCTGCGTTGGCTCTGTCTGGTAGACCCCAGGAACACTAGAGTAGAGGGCTCAGGTCTAAAATGTTACTCTCCCACAACAAGGAATATAAAAAATGGTAAGAAGAGAGTTACATTAAAGCTGAAAAAATAAACTGCCCTCTGACAGTCTGCTGATAATATGTATAAAACAAAAAACTCAGGAGGTCATTGCTAGCCAAGTAAAATAAAATGCATACAACAAAAATGGTTGTTAAGCAAATCAGTCAGTGAAATATTTACCTCAGAAGAAAGACAAGGGTTAAAAATTTAGCCTGTTAGGGAATTCAGCATGTATATTGCACACTGATATGGAAATCCTGTGTCAAATTTTCTCTTTACTCGTACATGAAGTTATGGTAACATGCTCTGTTAGGCTTTTAGAGAATGCAAGTATCATGTACAAGCACATTTAGAACAGATGGAAGGTGAATTAATAATGGAGCAACAAAAGTGCATAATTTTGTACAGTCCATCTCATAATGAAAACATCATATTTCCCATGGGCAAAGGTTCTAATAATTTACAACACCTGGCTGTACCCTCAAGTTACACACTACCCAAATTAATCACTATGAGCCTTACTGGCCTGCAGTTGCAAATTATATCAAGCCAGTGTGTATCATGAAGAAAAGATGACAAAGCTGTAAATTTGCAGGTTCAGTTGAGACCAAACCAAAGGGATCTATTTGGCTACATGGTTGTCATTCTGCTCTGTCATTGTCAAAAAATTGAGATGATGGTACTTTTTAAGGGATTATTATGAAAATAAAGACCTTTTTAAGTCTTCATTTGGTGACAATCCTCAAATTATACAGAATTTACTCCATGTTTGTCATATCAGGAGGCTATTGCATGAATCTTTAAGAAAAACATCTAAAAGAGATCTCTAAACCAGTGAGGCAAAAAGAAAAAAAATACTCATACAAATAAAATAATATTTTAAATACTAATATACTTTCAAGAAATTATATTTCTAATCTTGACACTTTAAAGACAGGTGATATTCCAGAAACACTTTTCAACATATGATAAGTTACAAAACCACAGCTCTCCTGAAGTTTATGTCTTTTTAATATTATTTAACAATAAAATATTTTCATCTTCCTCTAGGCCTTGATTAAACAGTTAAAGTCAGGTTAAAAAAAACCAGCTATTATTTTCAATAGTAAGAAAAATGAAGATAGCAAAGTCAAGCCTAATTTAGGTGGGATTATGAACCTGAAAAATATTTTTCTCAAAGGGCTATGATGAGATGTAAAGTTTCAACTCAGATAACTATTATAGTATTTCCTCTTCAATCATACAAATAGTTCTCCCAATTTAAAAAACAAAAGCTGGTTGCATGCTGCTTAT